ACCTACCTAAAATATGCTAATCATTAGGTTAGGACTGCAGAATTCACTTGACGTCACTGGCTAATCTAGTGTTCCCCTTTCCTACGCAGTCATTGCGAGCCTACATGGAAATTTTTTACACCAAGACATGCATTCATTGGCTTACCATCGTTTTAACATTCATGTTTAGACGTGGTATCCCATTAAGGTTTACTCTTTCCCTCGTTTAACTGTGTGCATGCGTTAATGCTAAAGAATGCCTTCCACGCTCCACTCTCGACGACTGGTAAAAAAGGCAGCAGTATTTGCTGCAAGTGTAATGAGGTAATGGGTCGACTTATGAGCCACCAGGAGAAACCAAGATTGCCATTTTCTGGCCTCTAACTGTAGAGCACACCTTGCAATCATGAGCGGCTCCACAGTGTAACGTTCACCGCAAAAAGGCGAAGAAAAGTAAAACGTTTACACACTAACGTTTGGACTCAACAATGGACTTGATTCTCATTTCTTTTTACGAAAGTTTGGATGCTACTTGACACTGTCACTTGTCATATGTGGCATAGCTTTGGGTAGAGGTGTCCAGTATTCCCTTTTCCATGGCAAATCTCTATATTTTTCACACAAAACAGGGTCACAGAAATACATCCGACAGCTGGAGACTGATTATTTCACTTTCCAAATAAGAATCACTTTATCCGAATTGCCTAATTAAAATTGGCATGCACTTTACTCGCAAAATTTCACTAAAACTTGTTTTATTTATCTGTGCATGGCTGCTTTTCATTTGCTGGCACCACTATCTTTCCATGCGTGTTGACCGAATGACCTGTCTGACACAAAAGCTGTATGATATTCGCTCGCATTCACACAAGCCGGTGCCAAAGCTCCTCAACCAATTCCTTCTCCCTAATAGTGCTTTTGTAACCCCTTTTTTATTAATTATGCTTGCTCAGATTTATCTAACTGGTAGACACAGTCTCAAAGAACGTGTAAATGTTCTTAATTTCTTAGTTCAGGTATGTGAGTTTTCTAAAATCCAAGTGCAGGAACTTTGCCCAAGGAAACAGGGCTTTAAAAAATCATCTTTTATGTAAAAGACTTCTTTAAGAGTGTATTTTTCGAGACTGCTCAAACATGT